TAAGATGTGCTATATTTATGGAATAAAGTGCTCAAAAGTCTTTCTATATTACTAAAATGTCGAAAACCGAAAAGAATATATATATATATATATTTCTGTCAAGACTATTTATAAATAGTCTTGACAGAAATCAACTCGTGGCCTGACGATTGCGTCTAGGATGAAATATTCTGTCGCCTCTGAGTGTTGACTTCAAAGTTCACTATATATATATATATATATATATATATATATATATATATATATATATATATATCCAGGTATAAATATGAACAAATGGAGTATAATTACACTGTACGTAACATTTAATTTAAAACAGGACTTAATGCAGGGTGGAGCTAAATATTGTTTATTTTAGTATATTAAAACAAAATCAATTTCAAAAATCGCTACACATATTTTTGTTTTAATATCCTAAAATGAATAATATATATATATATATATATATATATATATATATATATCATTATTAAGCCATGTGTTTTTAAAGAGGGTTCAGTACATAGGAGAGCTAAATATTATTCGTTTTAGGATATTAAAACGTAAAAAAATAAATGTGACTCTTTTTACTCACCACAGAGAACCACCCCTGCGCCCCGCCCCCATTAGAAAGTCTGATGCTGAACTCCACGATAGCACCTCTTTGAAACTGCTCGGTCTCACATTGACAGCTGACCTGAGATGGAACAATAGCTTCGTCCACCGCAAGGAAAGTTGGCTCCCTGTGCCGCGCCAGGAAATTTTTGTCACCGGAGTCGATCCTTCAAATCTACAAATCAACCATTCGCCCTTGCATGGAGTATTGCTGCCATATATGGTCTGGAGTCCCCTTCTGTTTGTTTCAAGGTCCTTGATAAAATCCAGAGACGGATATGCAATGTAATTGGCCCTGAATTGGCATCTCGTCTGCAGGCACTCTCTCACAGACGTGCTGTCGCCTCTCTGTCTTTTTTGCAAATACTTTCATGGTAACTGCACCATACTTCATGAATTTAAGCGTTCAACTAGGCTGGCATCTCGCTCTTACCATTTCACTGTCGAAACTGTTAAATGTAGCCGTCTCTTCTATTCCGATAGCTTCATATCTCGCACTTCTCGCCTGCAGAACTCCCTCCCGTTTTCTTATTGCCCTGATAGCTAAAACTACCAACTATTCAAATGTAATGTCAATCGACGTCTCCAGATGCCTTGATCTATCCCCTATCTTTCCATTCATCCTTTCCTATATCACTCCTATTTGCTCTCGCTCCAACTCTCTGTAAACCCCTTGCGTGCTAGTGGCTTCCTGCCTTGCTTGGTGTGAAACGCTTAAAAAATATCTTATATCTTGCCTGCATAACCCCATGTTTTTTTCTTCTTGCGTTTTATTACGCTCAAAGACAGGACTAGTCAGAATTTAGATGTATGACCGCTTGGGAATGGCAAGTGCTGTAAGATTGGATGTGTATATTGTGCGACGGATCACGTCTCTATCTTCATCCCCCACCTAGAGGTTAAATAATTGGACTTGTATCAATAAATCATTATTGTTTCTAAAAAAAATCTTACAATATCAAAATATTTTATGCTTCAAATAACATGTAAATGGTTGATAAACTAAACAAAAAAGTCATTCAAAAAAAATAAGAAAAGAAATTATGCTCATGCAACACCACGCAGTAACCTTCTACCTTGAGTGGCTAATGGGACTTGTATCGGGTAAATATTAGTATTAAAAATTCAGGAAAGAGGTAAAGTCTTACCGATTTCAGAATAGTTTTCACATCCTTTTGATGACTATGAATACGGTCACAATGTGCTGGCCTTGTTTGAAAAAAATCAAACATTTCCACAACACCAGAAACATACATAAAAATCTAAAAATTCACTTAGAATTAAAAATAAACAAAAACATCCTTGATAATGGCTAAAAGAAAATCCAAAAGCACTCAAGCATAAGAATCTATCTCTTATCCCCCAGCTATGGGTTAAATAGTAAGAATTGTATCAGTATATCATTATTATGTCCAAAAAATTCTTGCCATCTAAAAATATTTTATGGCTTAAATAAACTCCAAATGGCTGATAAGCTATTAAAAATAATCAATCAAATCTAGTTTTTTACGCTCATACAAGACTAGCACACAGTAACCCTCTACCTCGAGTGGCTCATGGGCGTTGTATTGGGTGAATATTAGTATAAAAATGTCGGGGAAAGGTAAGATTTTAAATATTTTACAATAGATGTACGTGTACATAACCTTGAGAAAGGTAGTAACTCACCACTTATCTCCCAGCTATGGGTTAAATTGTAGGAATTGTATCAGTAGATCATTTTGATGTCAAAAAATTCTTGTAAAATATTTTATGGTCTAAAATATGTTATGGTTTAAATAACCTGCAAATGGTTGCTAGGCCATACAAAAAAATCAACCATTTTTTATTCTTACGCTCATACCGTAACCTTCTACCTTGAGTGGCTCATGGGCTTTATACAGATGAATATCAGTGCTAAAAATGTCAAGAAATTGGTAATGTCTTACCTATTTCAGAATAATTTTAACATCTATATAAATCGAAAGGATATTCGTAATGTACACCTCGGTGAAAATTTTTTAGAAAATCTCTGGAAATTCTCCAAGGTTTTTAGATCAAACAAATCAATTATTATTATTCAGAAAACAAGCCGAGGAAATTATATGCTGTCTGGGCTTGGCCAAATATTTGTAAAGGAAAATTTTAAAATTTCAACGAATTCCTCAATCCTGAGCTATTTTTAATCACGACAATATTTAATTCATTTTAGATTAATGAACACGTTAGGATTCATCTTCCCTCCCACACCTTGCTGCTAAACTACAAGAAAGAAAAAAAAAAAGCAAAGAAGAAAATATTAGAATAGATCAGAATAGTAATAAAATAAATGTGATTCTTTAAAGCCGAAATTATTTTCTTGTGAACGTTAAGAATTTAATTGATTTTTGTTTCACTGAAATCACTGGTGTAATCTTTTGAAAATTGTTTTTAACATCTGAAAGGGAAGGGCTTTCGTTAATTTTCTGTTTTCGTTTAAAAAAAATGGAAATAAGAACTAAAATTGACGTTTAAAGTTTAAATCTTTCTTTTTTTTAACCTTTTGACTTTGTCTCTTATTTTTCCTGTTGTATGTTTAGTTAAAAAAATGTACAATATCGAAGTGTTATTTTGATAACAATTTTTGACCACGCCTAAATTTTAAAATGTGCTCGCCAAAAAAAATTAAAGATAGTTGGGAAAAGATCATCGGACGTTAATTCATTATTATTATTATTAGAATACGAAACGGTTTTTCACTTATATCGCAATTATTTAAATAAAATTTAAAAACATTAAAAAATTTGTTATACGTCTTGCTATTCAGTCCAGTATTCTCACCTTGTTACGTTTACAAAGTTTCGTCTGTTGTGCGTTGCAAAACATGCAATATATTTAAATGACACCAGTAATTCCAGTAATCAGCCGATAACTCGATATCATATCTGTCTATATTTCTGAGATGACTCATTGTAATTATTTTCACTATTTACATTGTTCGGACTATTGTCCTCACCTTTATTGCCATATTCACGACGTCTCGACCGTTCTACGGTCCGACCTTGTTCAGGATCTGTGTATGTTTCTAAGATGAGGTATTGTAAATATTTACACTATTTACATCTTACGGGCAGTTTTCTTCATCTTTATTGTCATATTCACGACGTTTCATACGTTCTACCCTCCGGCCTTCTTCAGGAACTGTCTATATTGCTGAAATAATGTATTATAACTATTTACACTAATTACACTACTTCCATTGTTCGGATTGTTGTCCCCATATTTATTGCCATATTCACGACGTTTCAGCCGTTCTACGCTTCGACATTCTTCAGGGGATATACTTTGGAATTTCGAACAGAACACTTTATTTAGTAAACGGGGGTAGATTGTTCTAATTCCACGTGCCATCTATTTTTGAATATCTCAGTGTCAGTTAATTCCTTTTAATAACTCAACAATGCAAGTTTCTGTTCCCTTTCCTATGGCCAAGTATTGAACTCACAATCAGGTGCACATGGCCTAGTTGATAAAAGATTAATCGAAAAAGTGACTTGAGTCAAAGATTTCATTGTAATTATTTACAATAATTACATTGTTCGGACTATTGTCCTCACATTTATTGCCATATTCACGACGTCTCGACCGTTCTACGCTCCGAACTTGTTCAGGATCTGTGTATGTTTCTGAGATGAGGTATTGTAAATATTTACACTACTTACATCTTTCGGGCAGTTTTTTGATTTCAATACCCGATGGTAATTATCGAACAAAAAAAAAATAAAACTATATAAAATTCATTAATTCTTATAATACTGACTGTATTAAATTATTCAACTTTTTAGCAAGAAAATCTCAAGTTGATGTCAAAAACTGCCGCAAAGCATTGTGGATTTATTTAAGATAGAGTGATCTATTATATGTCTCTAATTTTTATTTAGATATGTTTATTTATTTTAATTTTTCTAGTTCAATTCTTCACGTGTATTACATATAATTCGTTATTGTACATAATTAGCTGACAATAAACATTCGTATTTTATATGAATACTATCATATAAAAATTGAGATTTAGTAAAGTGGTGTTGGGGGATCCCCGTATCATTGGGGGGGTGCACGATACCCTTGTACCGGCCCTAGTAGAAAGATTGAGAGAGGGGCCCTGTTATATTTTGACAATTACGTTTGATTAAACTGTGAAGATTGAAATCGTGCCAGAAACATTCGTCTATTGCAGCTGTATAGAAAAACAAAAAGAGTGTTGAAAGAAATAAACTCCTGATGACATATTCTTTAGCTTATTGTTCAAATAAAGATTTCGCATTAAAATAAAAATTTGCAGAGAAAAAAAAATTGAACCGTTTGACATATTCAAGCGAAAAAATATTGAACTGATTTGCTTCGTCGAAACTGTTGACTCTCCCAAGCGTGAGAATATCACATTAAACATGTATACATTCGTTTATAGGTCTCTTACGAATTCTTCCTGTTTAAAAGCAACGGTGTTATTCTTTACTCCCAGGATAGACGTTAAGACAGAGATTAAAAAAAAGTTGAACTAAGTCTACTAAGTCTTAGGTGCAGTACGTTCATAGGTCTCAGTAGAAATTATTTACAAATATTGATTCATACAAACTGAAATCGTAGAAATGCTAATGATATTACCGACTAGAATTTGTAACACACTGACTCATGTTCAAATCTCACGGTATTTCAATCAGTTATGTGTCAGGCGATCGTGTATCTTTCAAGGCAGAATTTTTTCCCGCAGTAGGTTGCCATTCCTGTCTGCGGTAGACCAGTTGCCATCCAAGTCTATAGAACCCAGTCTGTCCTGCTATCTACCCATAGCTGGGGTGGGGGATAAGATGATTCATACCTTTCCCAAGGGTATTAACGCGTAAGTGAATGTAATGAATTCGACTGGAAAGTCTGTCAGTCAGTTATGTCATGCGTGATACACGCTTAGGCAATTATGTAGCTTTCAAATCACATTTTTTTCCGCAGTAGGTTGCCATTTCTGTCTGCGGTAGACCAGTTGCCATCTAAGTCTATAGAACCTGGTCTGTCTTGCTATCTACCCATAGCTTGGTGGGGAAGATTCATACCTTTCCCAAGCCAGTCAGCTATGGTCCATGCGTGATACACGCTTAGGCGATCATGTATCTTTCGATTCATGACTGACAAAGCAGATTTTTTCTTTCTCCGGTAGACTAGTTGCCATCAAAGGCTATAGAACCCGGTCTGTCCTGCAATTTACCCATAGCTGGGGACAGTAAAATAATGGACATCAGCTTCACATAACAGCCTTGGGAAATGTATGAATCCTGTTCTCCACACAGCTATGGATAAATAGCAAGAAAGACTGGGTTCTATAGACTTGGATTGCAAAATACTACGGGAAAAAATCATTTATACATGTTTCATTAAAGATGACAGGTAAGTTAGTAAAATTAAACTATTTATTTAATTTTTCTTGTGCTCAAACAATGTGCTGTGTCCAGAAAATGAAACATCCCTATAACTCTAAAAACATACAACCCACACACCCAATTAAATTGAAAAATAAAATCATCCATGATAATGGCTAAAATTATATCCGAAAGCGCTCGGAATTATAAAACATTTGGCCAGCTTCTACACACTATGTGGCCCAAGAAGAAAGCACTTGTTCGAAAACAAGAAAAAAACAGAAATTAAATGAAACCACAAGATTAAACGATCTAATTATTTTCATATCATACCTATTATTCTATCTACCCCCCACCGCTCTCTCTCTCTCTCTATCTATCTATCTATCTATCTATCTATCTATCTATAAAATTAACTCACTACCTGACTCTCTGTTCATATCTATCTATAGCAGTCTGTTCATATCTATCTATCTATCTATCTATCTATCTATCTATCTATATATATATATATATATATATATATATATATATATGAAATTACCTCATTATCTATCTCTGTCAGTTCATATCTATCTATCTACCTATCTATAAAATTACCTCACTAACTGTCTCTCTCTGTTCATATCTATCGCTAGCAGTCTGTTCATATCTATTCATCTATCTATCTATCTATCTATTATTGGTGCAAAAATAATGACGTAAGAATGTCGTTTTTTGACGTTAAAAATACGTCAAAAACGACATTATTACGTCATTATTTTTGCACCAACCTAATATCTATCTATCTATCTATCTATCTATCTATCTATATATCTATATATATATATATATATATATATATATATATATATATATATATATATATATATATGTATTTATCTATAAAATTACCTCACTATCTATCTCTGTCAGTTCATATCTATCTATCTATCTATCTATCTATCTATCTATCTATCTATCTATCTATAAAATTACCTCACTATCTCTGTCAGTTCATATCTATCTATCTATCTATCTATCTATCTATAAAATTACCTCACTATCTCTGTCAGTTCATATCTATCTATCTATCTATCTATCTATCTATCTATCTATCTATCTATCTCATTACTTTCGTATCATATCTATTTCCTTTTTTCGTATAATCTTTCTCTCTCTCTCTCTCTCTATATATATATATATATATATATATATATATATATATATTCTATTGCAGACCATGTTATAAATAGTATGAACCGTGTCTTTGATTTTAGGGTGGATCGTTTTTCTATTTTATCTAGGTCCCACTCCTCATATCACCTCGAGGTTTTAGAATCCTTGTATATCAGATCCCGTGGGCCTTTCCTCTGTAAACAGAGGGAATACTTACTGGGTCTGAATGTTATTGGACTCTAGTTTTCTGGAAATTCAATTTTTTTTCTTCTCCCTCCATTGGTCATCATTAATACCAATTAAGTTTACTCACTTATATTTTAAATCCCAGGAATAAACTTGATAAATCTGGGACGAAACCGGTTGTTTTTTAGCTTTTAAAATAAACATTAAAATGCAATATAAATGATGCTTATTTCTAGCTATCCTTAAAATTTGTACTACAAAAAAATTATATATATATATATATATATATATATATATATATATATATATTAATAATTTCACCCCAAGCAATATTAGGGAGGATTGAGACAAATGATGAACAGGATTCAAGAAGAGAGTAGATCGTAGTTGTCAGGGCAGCAATTAAACTGAAGCGAGTTCCACAGTTGGTAAGTGCGAGAAAAGAAACAGTAAAGGGGGGGATCTAGACGCCAATCTAGTAGCACGCTTAATTTTATGCAGTCGGGTCATCAGGGAAAAAGCTCATCAGAACAGTTGGAATAAAAATATTTGTAGAAAAGGCAGAGGGAAGCCACGTCATGTCGGGGAAAAAATTTCGAAATGCCAAGTCAGGATCGAATATATATATATATATATATATATATATATATATAGTATTTACATTAGTCGGACTATTGTCCTCATCTTTGTTGCCATATTTGTCACAACGTTTCGGCCGTTGTACGCTCCGGCCTTCTTCAGGTGGTTGGGATTTCGAACTGAACCCTTTATTTCGATCACTGGGGTAGACTGTTCTAGTTCCACGTGCCATGTTTGATGGATGTCAGTTATCAGTTATCTCCTGCTAATTTTCCCTCTGAAAGTTCTCTCTCTCTCTCTCTATCTCTCTCTCTCTCTCTCTATATATATATATATATATATATATATATATATTTCTATATAGAAAATATGTTTATATATATATATATATATATAAACATATTTTTTCACAATCTTTAACGTTTAACGAGTGCAGTAGTGAGTTTACTGAGAAGTGTTCTGTTTAACAATGATACGATATTGATATCGTGCGAAGGCAGATATGTTTTTTACATACGGGAATGTTAATGGACGCGAGGCTACACGGCTGTATCATATTTCGTTTCCAGACCGAAAGCAGTCGAGTCATTCAACCTTTTCTGCCGTGTATCTTCTCGTTGCTGACAGAGAATCCGTGGCATTACAGATTATGGATCGAGGAAGACTGATTGTGCATTTAACAGCATATAACTTAAACTTTAAGCTTAATAACTCAGAAACGAAGGATTTGTGGACATATTTTGATATGGACTTTTGTCTTTGTTTTGTTGTGTGCAACCCGCCCCAAAGTTTCTAAAAGTATTTTTGATACACCCTGTGTGTGTGTTCGCGTGCGCGTGGTTGCTGTGTACTTACTGACGTATAAATTTTGTCTGTTACATTTTAATTCTTTGCCTCGATTCTGTTGTTATCTAAAATCCTGTATCTTTCTTCTTCTTCTTCTTCGCAAAGGATTATTATCATTTAATCAAGAGAAAGTCAACCACCTCGAGGGACATTCGTTAACAATTTTTGCGTAAGAAAAAGAAGTGTACTGTTAAAAATTGCAGGTGTTCTAAAAATTTTACAGGTGCATGTAAAGTTTTTAGGTATTCCACAGGGAACATGTTTAATTCCACGAGAACAGGGACAGTTTAACCCTCAAAGCTAGACACTGGTGTCAATAACGTAAATTCAAAAACTATTTACTCTGTCACATAATGACATATCATATTCTATGAGATCTTCAATACGATATTTGAGGTTGTAAAACCGGGTTCAAATTCAGTAACTGCTTCTACTCTTTTGGAGACTTTTCCATGATACAAGGTCTATTATATGGTTATAGCAATAATAGCCTTTTCCTTATAAGGAAACCTTCGGAATCTAATAACCGGGTAACCAGTACTACTTAAATTACGGTTTTCTCCGCTTTGCTGGATTTCTCGTGTCCGAAATTTCCGATGTTAACCTCTTTTCTCATCCTGCTTCTGTTTGGTCAAAATGCCTAATAGTATAAAATAAACATTATTATTATTATTATTATTATTATTATTATTAAAAAAATCAATATGATTGCTTTAACTCTACCAATATTTTTAACACAGTTAAGAGAAAAGTGCGTTTTAAGAAAAGAAAAATAAAGAACAAAAAAACAGTAAACAAATAATAATAATAATAATAATAATAATAATAATAATAATAATAGACTGATATTAGACTAATAGTAGATTAATAGAAGGGATTCCTGGAAGTCCATGCCTTAAAGAAATACAAAACATTATTCTCACGAATACAGCCCACACCTTGCAAAGGGCTTTATCTATATAAAATATGTTTGTTTTTTGTTTTAATTTTTTTTTTAATTGGAAAATGTCATGATACCATTTCTAACCTTAGGTCTCTGGTCAGGACCCGGAAAGAAATGTGTACACACCAGAAATCAAAGGAATAATAATAATAATAATAATAATAATAATAATTAAGAGAAGAGCGCGATTTAAGAAAAGAAAGGAAAAACAGTGTTTGACAATGATAAACAATATTTAGACAGAAGGTCTGGCATCTTAAATGACTTATATATATTCTCATATAACTTAAAGATGACAGGCATTCTGTCCAAATACTGTTTAACAGTGTTTTCTTTCTTTTCTTAATTCGTGCTGTTCATTTAAATATTATTATTATTATTGTTGTTGTTTTATTTATCTCATAAAATTCTTTAATTGGTCTACTATAGCTAAACACATGCAGATATGTTGAAAAATAGGAAAGAACACATTAGGTAAATAATCCGGAGTTCTTCAGTATTTTTGTTTTTATTTTTAAAAAACAATGCATCATACAGAAGTAGAGCTTAAATTATAATTATTTTAAAAAAATATGATTCCTTAGCTACACAAGAGTTCTCATGTTTCAAAACCCACAATGTAATTATTAAAATTAAATTGAATTTAATTTTAATAACTATATTGAGGGTTTCGGCTCTCGTTTTTGAAACATGAGAACTCTTGTGTAGTAGAAATCATATTTTTTTAAAATAATTTTAATATATATATATATATATATATATATATATATATATATATATATATATATATTTCTTAGAGGATATTGAATTCGAACATATGTAAGCGCTACATAAACGCATTCAGGTATCCATGCCTGATGAGATGCGCTGATATGCATCGAAACGTGAATGCATTAATGTAGCAGTTACATGTGATTTAATGTAATATCCTATAATAAAGCATTGTCGCTCAACTGTTGTATTGAGCCCTATATTTAAATTAATGTTATGAACATTTGTATTTATATTTGGTTACTTCTCAATTCATTTATATATGTGTGCGTATCTGTGTGCATGTGTGTGTCTGTGCGTGCGTGTATTTATTTAGGCAGCATATCTTCATTCAAACCTATTTGGTTAACTAATCTGAATATATTACATCAGTATAGCAACAATGTTTTATAATGTCTATAACGGTTATGTTTTAAAATACTAATTGCAATTTTTTTAAATTACCTTTATTTAAATTAAAGTTCGCTCATTTAGATAAAACAATAACTGTAACAGTTAATTAGTTTTTCACTTAATCATAACGGAGAGCTTTCATACGTCTTTATAATTATAATAGAGCGCGTTTCATGCGCATTTACAAATAAATCACATCTATCAATTACATGAAATTTTTGTCTTAGCATTTGACCCTGAAATATAATCTTGTATAAGACCGAAAGTACGTGAGATAATAAAAGAAATAACCCAAACTGTGGCGACTTTCATAATCAGCTTAACGACAACACTAAGAAATTGATCTGTGGATTTTAAAAGACTAAAATTACAAATAGACATATGTTCATATTATTCAACCAAACTTGCTTGAATATATATATATATATATATATATATATATATATATATATATATTGTGTGTGTGTGTGTGTGCATAGATAGATAAGTAAATAAAAATGACTTAATTTGTTTTCTGTTTATACGTCATTTTGTATAGATATCATTTATTTATTTTTATAAATAACATTCATTTGTTAATTACAGAATTAATATTACATTCAAGTTGGTAAATTTGATTAATATTATTTAATTAAAAACCGGACCATTTATTTAATAAATTGTATCTATAAAAATAACGTGTAAACAGAATATATATATATATATATATATATATATATATAAAAATATATATATATATATATATATTTTTAAACATTTTAGTGACAAATACAGATATATTATTTTTTTTTTTTTTTTTTTATTCTCTATTTTTTTTATTATCTTTCTCTAATCAGCTTCTTGATGTTAAGTTGAAATTCACCAAGGAAAGGCGCCATAGTTTATCCTCCAAGATTATCCTAAGGGTGTATATCAAAAACATATATATATATATATATATATATATATATATATATATATATATATATATATATATATATATATGTGATAGATTGTTTGTGACCTAGGTTTTCACGCTTTAGCGATCGTCAGACAAACTCAATATATTTGTGTCACCAAACTCAAGTTTGTCTGACGATCGCTAAAGCGTGAAACCCAGGGCACAAACTCACATCTATCCAACCAAATATGTTAGCTCTATCTCTGATATTGAGCGCTTTCTAATAAGTACCGCGCATATAATATAAATAATTATACGTATATATATTTATTTATATTCATATACACTTTTCCCACACACACACACACACACACACACACACACACACACACACATATATATATATATATATATATATATATATATATATATATATATATATATTATATTCAACACAAGCATGATCAGACACCAGAAGCGTTGAAATAAAATGGCTGTTTTTTGTAGTGGTTTTATAACATATCTATTTAAGTATTTGCTATATATATATATATATATATATATATATATATATATATATATATATATATATATATCTTGCTTTTATCCAGCGTTTTTATTATCCGAGAGGAACATATTTACCGTTGATAACGAGATTCTACCTCATTACTATTATCATTATTATTATTATTATTAGTAGTAGTAGTAGTAGTACTATTAATTGTAATAGTAGTAGTAACAGTGTCTAATTATCGTTTAAAAGAATTATATACGCTGCCTTTTAATCAGTTACTTGGATTGGTTATTTTTTTTTCTTTTTGTAACATTTATAAGTTGATGAATGCTTTCTTTTGTATCACAATTCCAAATCATCCTTCCTCAATGACACCTTCAACCCACCCCCCTGACCGCTGTCCACTTTACGATCTCTTTAACACAAATTCCCTGCCTTAATCCAACCCGAAGCCGATACACAAACAACCTACCTTACAACACGCTGTTTATCGCTTCCTCAACCTCTCTCATTTTCTGCTTTCATCATTTACGTCCCTTTCTTTCCTGCCACCCCACTCTAACCCGTCCTTTCTTACTGTCCACACACCTTCTATTTCTCGTAGTCCCCTTTTTGACCACTGTAAGCTCAGAAACCTCGACTACGTTCAGTTTTCGTTTGTTATCTTCGTATGCTGCCCGGAAGTCAGATCACACGCAATGTCGTTCAACTCACAAGTTATTGTCCTTCTGTTGGCCAACGATTTCTTCCCGCTATAGTAGCTGTTCTTTTCGCCCGGCCAACCACCCTTTCCTCTCAGACCCCAAACTCACCCCTACCTTGCCACAATCAGAGAGTAAAGCGCTTTACCTTATCTTTGTTCCACTTCATCGCTAATCTCAACCGTCTCTCAGAATCCACTATTACCGCTTGTTATCGATTTCCGAGATATCAAAATCCATCCCAGATGCGTTTTAGATAAATTGTTCAATGACTTGGGCCAACGCAGGAGCACTTGGCCACTTACATAACGGCTAATATTGTGTCACCAAGCGAGAAGTAATAGCTATGAGAGACAAGCAGGTCGACAAGGTCAGCGTAGTTAGGTAACCTTTCTCGCGCTGAACCCTTCCACACCCCGTTTTTTAACCTCCTTCTCATTAGATCATATTTGTCTCTTTCTCTTGACCGGCGCATTCTGCAAATCCATTCTAAGTCCTGTTCTGTCATTCATACGTTCACTGAAGCGATCCTTCTGCCTACCGGACAATTACCAGCATACGCAACGATTCGAAAAGACAATCGCTCTGGCTCTGTTTATTATGTTATCGTGAATTTAACCGATTCAATAATAATTAAGTTAATATCATATCTCAACCTCTTATGCGTCTCTGTCGCTTTAATTCATTCATTCGTTCATAAATTGAATAATCTTTTATTCCAGCGCCTGCACGGACGGCTGCTACAAACGCCCAACGTCAGCAATCCCATAATGCATCTTCCATTCATTCTTTTTACTCATTGTCTTACAAACGTGTTTGCGCTATCATCTTTCATTCATAAATAAAGCAATACAAACGGAAAGATATTTATAACTGTGTTTTATAGATTACTAGCAGCATGGCCCGGCGTTGCCCGTGCTTGATTGAAAAATCGTACGACTCATACAGCAATCGTTATCACTTGACTTAAAATATTTTTGCCCTTCCTTGCCTTTAAAGGAGTGACCTTTGCCGTGCTGATGTTGCTACATGCCTTACTTCTTGCCTATCTCACACTGCGATTTTTTTCTAAGCTCTATACTAAACATTAAATCTGTTACGAAAAAAGAACTAAACAAAATGAACACAAAACGATCAGCTTTAAAAAAGGAATCGTAACTGGAAAAAACCGAATGAAAAAAGAATGTTAAAAACAAATAATTTTTCACACCTAACCCAGTTCTGCGGAATCGGAATCAACGTTGAGTTTAAGCAAGCGAATGAGCCAATTGGAGTAAAGTGCTATGCAGATTTAAATTTTTGCCACGTGTGACGAATGCATCTATCGATTTTTTTTTGCATGCTTGGTAAGAATGGACGAGTGTGTAAAACTGGTTCCACCTAAGAATCTGCTTCGGTTAAATAGGGCTTGACTTCCCAGGAAGATACTCCGTCTACCAAAGGGAAACCGCTGATTTAAAATCGCCGCTCCGGTCATTCAAAACAAAGGAAAATGCTATGGAAGTAAATCCAGACAGAAAAACCGTAGCTGTTTCCAGAAGGCGGCTGTCAACACCGGATAGTTTTCGTCAATTCCTGCAGCCAAGCTGCAACAAGATAGTGGAAATAATCGATATTTCATGCTTCTACGGCAGTTTTCATGTAGTATGCGGCCATTTTCTACTGGCCAGAGTGGGAGCCTATACCTGGCTGCCACGAATAGGCTCCCACTCTGTGATTATCTATCTATCTATCTATCTATCTATCTATCTATCTATCTATCTATATGTATATATACACACACATCTATCTATCTATCTATCTCTCTCTCTCTCTCTCTCTCTCTCTCTCTATATATATATATATATATATATATATATATATATATATATATATATATATATGTAAAATAGGAAAGAATCTCCATAGACACGTAAACCAGACTAGGCGAAAACATCTTCCGTTTCAAATTTAGACACCCCCACCTTACCCTGACTTGACATCTATGAAAGTAACTCTATAGTGATACTTATTATTAACACCCAACACAACCCTAACTATTTTAAACAATTCGCCCTGGCTGCTACCATGGAAATTTTGATTCCAATTATGAATATACTATTAAAACACGTAAATTTCAGAAATTCAAAAGTTATTCAAAAAAAAAAAAAAAAAAATCGCTTGAAGATGGAACAGAGCTTACTTTAATTCAATTTAATTCAAATAATTATATTGAAGTTTTCGGCTCTTGTTTTGAAACATGAGACCTCTTATGTCGCGAGTTGGAATCATATTTTTAAATAAGTAAATAATTATATATATATATATATATATATATATATATATATACACACACATATATATATATAGGTAGATAGATAGATTTATAGGTAGATGTCACGCTTTTTCAATCAAAAGGACACAACTATCAATAGTTCATCTTCTATATAATAAATGCCAATGTCCGTGTGTCACACTGGTTGAATTTAAGGGACATAAATCTCTAACTTTCAATAGCTCATGTTATAGAAATTTTGGATTTCCAGTTTTCATTACTGCGATTGTTTTCGGTGATGTTTTAACGTGAACTTTTGCGACGAATTTCTTTGTAAGGTAACATTTTTATTACTTGAAAAAAAATGGGGAATAATTGAAATTAATTGCGAAATCATGCAAAAGTTACCCATGAAATTAAAAAAAAAATGGTCGTTTGTACGAAAAGAACATGAAATTTTCTTTAAATTATGATGGGCCAGAATAGTTATCACTGAACTTTTAAAAGGTAAGCTTAAATATTAATGCAATACTTAAATGCAGCGATCAATTTTGAGTTCTGCTGTAGTTTCTTGGTGTCTATCGCATACAGCAGCAGTTTGTCTCGTAAGAAGAAATCTCCTCTTACAGAGAACCAGATTACAATCAAAAGAGACAAGTCTGCAAATGAAAACCCAAACCAAACGGAAACCAGGAGAACTTCAAATCTTCCCAGTAGTTATATAGTCATTTAAACAAAGTTGGCTCATATGAACAGATAACTTAAATCAAGGAACAGCATAATAAAAGAAAATATCCAAAGGTTGTACAATTTTTGGCTTTATTTTCTGCCGAAATTAAAGAAAATTAGAACGGGTCGTGATCAAACATAACAAACATTCGCTGTGTGTTATATTTAACAATATATGTTTTGAATAATAGAACACATACAATATATATATATATATATATATATATATATATATATATATATATATATATATAATATTGAACAATAAAAATTAAAAATTAAAATCTTCAGACACACTGGGTTATAGATTAATATTCTTTCGTTTTTTTATTATTATTATTTCATTTAGTTTCCTCGACTAGTTTCGGCCCCAAAATGGCCATCATCGGGAGGAGAAATATTTCTGCTCGCTGGTAGCAGTAAACTACAGAAATTAATCTTTTGCTGGAGAAAATGAACTTTTGTCTGTAGTTTTCATTTGTCTTTTTTTTTATCTTTTTGACATGAATCTTTTAACATTCCTTGTGTTGGTCAAACAGTCTCTTTTAAGTTGTTATTTGAGATAGGAGCTGGATGGATCTATGCTTCTCTGAATCCCCATGGTATGTGTGCGTCTGTGGGTGTGTGTGCGCGTGCTTGTGTGCGTTTGTTTATTATAAGAGAATATAATAAAAATATTTTGAATTCGGTAGGCAAACGCTTTCATGTTTCAATACTATTATTGTCTTTCTTCAGGTGCATTGCATATTGAGACATGAAATCTTTTGTGTAGCGATTTCAAAATATTTGTGGTAAGTGCTATATATATATATATATATATATATATATATATATATATATATATATATATATATCGATATTTGCCTATTTATTTTATAAGAATCTTTTCTAGTTCTTTAACAATTTTCTTGATGTTAAATTAATGTCATCAAGGAAGGTGCCGTAGTTTTTTTCCCTAATCAAACATATCATTTAATGAAAAATGTTTGAATGAATATATCTTCCCAAATCAATCTATCTATCTATCTATCTATCTATCTAGCTAGCTATATATATATATATATATATATATATATATATATATATATATATATATACACATTATGAAATGGACAAAGTCCGACTACTATTTTAAGACATATATGTCTTAAATATATCATATATATATATATATATATATATATATATATATATATATAACAAAAATATCCTGTTTAATAAATAAACGAAGCACCTCGCTATATACGGGTATCTACTATCAATAACTTTTAAGTAATAAAAATCTGTTGAATTAATAAATAAAACATCCACTACTTTCGTTAGAAACACACGCACACACACACACACACACACATATATATATATATATATATATATATATATATATATATATATATATATATATATATGATGGACTCTACAGTTGATTTCGACGTATGAGGACCCGACAACCTCATTTAGTTTGTATGTTTGCGTCGTATGTCACATTTTAGTCCCGATATTAACCTGCATACAATCCACATATTGTACAACAGCGAGGAACTCGGAAACATTGCCACAGGATTTCGTCGCTCTTCGTCCCTTAGCCATTCTATACGACTGATTTCGAAATTTCTGATATCACTCTGGCACAGATACTTCAGTTGTTTCTATCCAGGGCAACTCGCTCGAAGTTAGGATGAGGCACATTGACAACTGAAAGGTTACTATTTAGCTTGTTTTTATACCAAAGCTACGGTCACCAAACAGTCCACTGGCAAGCTGGCTAAACACGAGGACCTTAGTTATTCTTTCGTCACTCATACTTGCAACATGACCAGCCCAGCGATGTTGTGACTGCATCAGGATAGTCTTCATTTCCACCAAGCGAGTGGGTCAGCATTGGACCCCCTATCGTTAAAAGACAACTATTGTGGAAGACATGCAACTGATTGATATGAGTCATATATGGGGTCCACGATTCTAAGCCATACAAAAGTATGATCACAAAGTTCCCCCCGGTTAGCGATTTGCAAAAAAAACAGAATAGTTTATAAATTCAAGTGCCATTTGGGAGAGTGTATCTCCAATGAATTAAATAATATTTATATTGGTCACACCACAAACTCGCTTTCACGACGCTTGACACTACATTTTAATGAAAACTCTAACATTTTTTAGGCATTTAAAACAACATGCCTGCCCTTTTACAATTCCTTAAAATACTTGTCGAAAACACAATTATACTTCGACATGAAAACAATAGACAAAAACTAAAAATACTTGAAGCATTATACATCAAACAGTTAAAACCCAACCTAAACAAAATCAATTATGGCATCTCTACAAATATTCTTAAATGTCTATAATTGGTAACAGAAGCCATTGGTTTATACCAACGGATTTCCATACTTCATTCTCCAATTCACTCTCGTGTGGTCATGTGTGACTTCATGAGATGCGGTGCGATTTTCGCTTCTAGCGTCTTATATGCGCATGTTTATCGTTGCTTAGAAATCATCTATGTAAACATTGACAGACTATCATCACTATCTTGTCCGTATATCGTTTAATATGTTGTAATTGACATCTTTGATAATGGCTGAAGTAAGCCGAAAGCTTAGATTATATTAAAAACATATGGATCAATATTGTGAATTTCTTTCTTCGTTCAACGATAATGTTATTAAACTTACAAATGTTACGAAAAAAATTTACATAAAATAAATAGACAACACTTGTCTATATTATTTAATGAAACGTGTATAAATGAACATATGCTGCCTAAATACACAATATATATATATATATATATATATATATATATATATATATATATATATCTGGTCACCCGTATTGAAGGATACCCATCTAATAGGGCGGCTAGACAATCCCTTTTGTTCAAATATGCTAAGCGGAACTCAGAGTTTCTGGGAAAGAGCGTGTTATCTAGCGAACAAGATCAGCACGCTCAAGCTCTTGGCCACAATGGGTTGCGACTTAGTGCTAGCACAGCTTTCGACGACCCCCAAGAGTTTAGTCTGTCCAATTTCTCTCACAAGGTATGGTTTTCAGGCACTTTCCAAACTTATGCCGCATATTGAGTTCGACCCCACCAGTCTGAAAACATCCGGAAATATCCTTCCTGACAAATGGTGAGATTCAAACCCGGGACTCATGATCAGAATGCGAACGTTCTAACCACTCGGCCACATACTCATAAATACCATTTGGAAAGGTATTCATCCTTCTCTTCCCTCTACAGACTGGGTTCTATAACCTTGGAATGCAACTTGTCTAGGGGAAGGGCAATTCTAAATTCAAAACCTGCGCAGGGTCATTTGGGGAACTTGTGACACGTATTGCAACAGGCCTCTATATTCGGCCCTTCAAAACGTGGATGAATCTGCACAGAACCTTCAGCAATCCGTGTTGGTGTCTGGGCTGTCGGTGCTGAGGAACTAAGCCGTTAGCATAAATGGTTTTGAGAGAAGAGGAGTAACTTATGGTAGTTAAATAAAGCAAAATTCAACTATGGGAATTTAGAATTGATATAAGTTTATGTCGACATTTGAAGAGTTAGAGGAGATGGGAGACGGAAAGTGATTTTGGGTAGCTAATTAGGACAAAACTATCTTATGGAAATTTGAATTTGTTTTTATGTCGACATTTAATCATGAATTACTTCCTCTGATTCAATAGTTGGGTTTCATTCTTATATTGCTCCGTATAAATTAAGTAAAATACATCGAGGTCATTTTTCATATTACTATGATCAACATGGATTATATAGCAACGGATTTTT